GCCCAGAGGCACTAACTGTGTCCCCTCTCCTCTCAGATGCAACAGAAGGTTTCCATCACCCCAGGGTGTGGGTGGGGCTGTGAGCCATCAGGGGCAGGACACTCTGAGGGTGTTCCTGTGTCAGTGCCCAGGCTCCAGGCTCCATGGACCGAGGCTCATCAAAGGCTTCCCAGGGACAGTGACACAGGAACGCCGTAAGGAGGTCCTGCCCCTGGAAAGCCCTTGATGAGCCTGGATCCATGACCCCTTCTCGTGCCCAGGAAGCAGCAATCCTTGGTCCTCAGGGCTCCCAGGCAGGTCTCTGACCTTGTGACCTCGGTCAGAGGTGACTGACCCCAGGGCTCAGCCTCTTCTCTGCCTGCCTTTTGGTGCTCACGACCTCCTTGCCCCTCTGGGTTGCAGATCAGTCAGGAGCCCGATTATCACTGTCCTAGGAATCAATACATCGAAAGCCTCCGTAAACTCCCATCACATGCGGCAGGGAGGTGAACATCTGCCACGCTCTCCCCGGTGACGCTTCGCTGCCCTGTCCCTGACTATGACCCACACCACCTCAGGTTTAACCTCTAATTGTCACCTGTGCTGTGACGCAGGGGGCCTCATGTCTCAGCTGGTCTGTCTACATGGGGTCAACCTACATATGTTCTTATCTGACTGGTGTTCCTGATGCAGAGACAATCACCATGTGACCATTTTCAAAAATGTCCTCAGAGATGCTCGTTAGAATGACAAGGAAATAGAATTCTAGGACCTGCAATCCCCGGGCTTGCAATTTCTTTGATCTCCGATAAATGCTTGCTGCCTCTCACTTTGGCTTTCATTTTCAGGTTAACGTGGGTGATGTTATGCAGGTGTGATTTGTAAAGATATATGCGAGAGGGGAACTTAGCAGAAGTATAGTAAACACATAGCCCTATGCTGAGAAGGCCATGGGTTTGGGCATGGGGGCGTATGGAACTGGAGTGTGTCCTACTCTCTCCTCCTGTCCCATGGTGGCTTTTCACCAAACTCGAGTTCACAGTGGCGTCTTTGGAATATCAGGAACCACCGGCTCCGCAGTGTATTCACGACGTGACTCCACCCACCATGGTCCCGTGAAAGCTCTTTCCAGGGGAGGAGCAGAGTCTCTGTGGGCTTCTCTGAGGCCGGAACAGACTCCCAGGCAGAGCCCTTCCCTACGTGTGTGGCCTAGGACGGCCTGGTGGTCCTTCCTGAGCTCCGCCCAGCTCTCCAGAGTCAGGTCAATCCACAGAGTCTCCTTGGTCACGCGGGGCTCAGCCTGAGGGGAATGAGGCTCCTTGTCACTGTCAGGGGAGCTGAATACAACCCAGTGACACAGGAACATCCAGTCCATGAAAAGTGCTAGAACATCTGTCCTGTATTTCCCCTCCCCCCATAGAACCTCTCACTCATCTGCCCCTCCTGTGGCCAAGGCCAGCTCATTGTGGCTTCTGCTGTCACTGTGCCAGTGATTCTGTAGGAACTGATGGTTCTGATCAATTCTAACTTTAGGAAAGGAACAACAATTACCCATGCTCTTCCTGCTCTTCCAATGAAAAGAACATTTCTTTGTCACCAGAAGAAAACGTCTCCCCTGTCGTGCTGACTGGGAATGACAGAGAGAAGCCCCGCGTGTGTGAGCCAGGAGCTTCAAGGGCCCCGCGGCCCAGTCCCCAGCTGGTCCCGTGAGCCTGGCCCAGGCTGAGCTGATGATTCCTTGAGCTCCGACACCTTCACACAGCAGAATTCTCTCTCTCCCCCGAGACCACGTCCTTGAGAAACTTGTGGATTCCACGTCCAGGAGGGAACCCGGTCCCTTTCAGCCCTGAGTCTTAGGCTTATTACCTTTATGTAGCACCTGGTAAATAACACAAACCCTCACTATACAAAGGTTATCCAAAGCGTTTGCGTTTATGAGCTTCTCAGCCTACGAGCCAACCTTCAGTGCCAGCAATATTCAAGATCAGAGGCAGCAAGAGGCTGGCCAGTGACCAGGAGCAGGTGGCAGGTTTGCAAAAAGAGGAGCCTGGTGCTGGACTGAGATGTGGCAGGCGACATAGAGAAGGTCCGATTTTGCAGGGTTCAGAGGGAGGAAGTCAAGGATGGGATGTGGGGAGGGACTTGGTCCTTGACGACTCGGGGGGAGGGAGTAGCTGCACCTCCTGGGTGAAGGTCACAGGCAAGTGTGTGTCACTGGGGCCCCAGGGTCATCCCTGCGATGGGTCCTTTGACCACGGTTCCTCTGCTGGGTCTGTGGTGACTCAGGGAGCTGTGTTCTCCAGACAACAAGAGGGGATCGCTTGCTTGGGCACTTTTGTCTGAGGCATATTGAACCAGGCGTCGCCAGGCTGAATCCCCTCCGGGAGCGAAATTCCTGTCATTACCAGGCATCTGCCCCACAGCGAGGCTGCCAAGAGAGAGCGACTCAGCCTCTCCTACCCGTGGACCCGGAACCCTGGCCTCCACGAGATCACTCCCTACGTGGCCCTGACTCCTTCATTGTGTCCAGGCAGGGGACGGTCGGACCGATCTGGGGACCATGGTGCCTGTCCTTGAGTTAGAACTGGGGAGTCACATGGCAACCTCATGGCTGGGGGATGGGGGTCCACAGAAAAGAGAACAAAGGCAGACGGTTTCGCCCACGGTCACCATGGGCACCGCTCTGCCTCTGCCCTCGTCATGGGTCATGTGGACACTGGAAACTGATCCGGGAAACAGCAAGCTGGGTCCAGTCTCACAAGTGACCTGCTCTGACCCTGACCTTTTTAACGCAGTGAAAGTTCAGTCACGAGGAAAGCCTCACCCCCTCCCGTCCCTGAGGAGTGGGCTGACATTCCGTGTTCTTGGAAAGCGGGGAGGCGGCAGAAATTCCGAAGCATGGCCTACTCTTCCCAGAGGGTCTGAGGTGGGCGAAGCAGGTTTACAGGCATCTTGGGGACCCTCCTGCCGTTCCCTGGTCGCCTACTCCGCCTCTACTCAGGTGGGGACAGTCCCAGAGGACCAGCGCAAAGACCTCTCACCCCACACTCCATGATGCATCCCCTTCTGGTTTTTTTCCCAAAGCTGCCTCCCCAGGTCGCCTTGAAGTCATGTCTGAAGATCCCCACAGAGAAGGTCTTGGTCACAGGTGGTACCATCACCGTCACCTTCCCCTTCTGTGTCCAGGGATCTGGGACCAGAGGGAGCCAGACTCAAAAAGTCAGATATCCACTCTCACTCAATATAAAATAGACAAGTGTGAATTATTCATTCCATCATATGTTAATGAGGATACCGGTTAACAGGTGAAGCTTGATTAAAGCTTAGGCACAAACAACGCGTTTACAGGCTTCTGAAAAGAAGGAAAGGACATTGAAAGAATATTTTGTGCATTGTAGAAATATTGATTATCTTCTAAGAGGGGAGGAATCACACTAAAGAAATAAAACCGTGTTCTGCCAATAGGGGACATGCCTCCACGGGACAGTCACTGCTCTGGGCCTGATCCGGCTCCATGACCGATGACAGGAGTGGAAGCAGCTCAGTGCTGACCCCTGAACAGTCAAGGTCACGGGGACGGACATACCCTGAGGGTCTGAATAGAACACGAAAGTGTCCTGGGGTGATGGGGAGGCCCCATAAGGGGCACCAGGACTGTCCCTAATGCAGAGGGTTAGAGGGGCAGCAGGACCTGTCTGATGGGCCTCAGCCACCATGTCACAAGAAGATGTGCGTAGGCCTGAGCACTAGGGGGCGCTCAGGGACTGTTCCTGAAGGTCCTGGGTAATCAGGGCTGGGACCTATTACTTGGCACTGCCTGTGCCCTCTGCTAAGGGGACACAGCTGTGATATTACCACTCCCGGGGCCACACACCGCCTCGCTCTACCCATCCCCCCTCTAAGTCCTCAGGCAGAGGTACCTGGCCGAGGGCCCAGAGAAGGATCAGAAATCAGTGGGACCTCATTTGCTTGAGAGGACCCGCCCTGTCCCAGACTATGACAATGGGGAGGGAGATGTTTGGGGGAAGATCACACTGCATGATCCATCCCCTTTAGCTTCTATGTCCAGAACTGCCCCCCCAGGTCGCCTGGAAGTCATGTCTGAAGATCCCCACTCACAAGGGCCTTCTCACAGGTGGTACTTTCACCTTCACTTTCCCCTTCTGTGTCCAGGGATCTGGGATCAGTGTGGGCCTCACTCAAAAAGTCAGATATCCACTCTCATTCAATATAAAACAGACAAGTGTGAATTATTCATTCCATTATATGTTAATGAGGTTGCCAGTTAACAGGAAAAGCTTGACCAAAAAGCATATGCACAAGCAACATGCTGACTGTCTGCTGAAGAGGAGGAAAGGCCATTGAAAGAATATATTTGTGCATTGCTGAAATAGTGATTAATTTCTAACAGGGCAAGAATCACATTAAAGAAATGAAACTGTGCCGTATAAATAGGGGACATGCTTCCATGGGACGGTCACTGCTCTGGACCTCTTCGGACTCCATAAAAGATTACAGGAGAGGAAGCAGCACAGTACTGACCACTGAACGGCCAAGGGACACGGGGACCGACTCACCCGGAAGAGTGTGAGTTGAACATGAAAGTGTCCTGAGTGATGGGGAGGCCCCATAAACGGACACCTGGACTGTCCCTAAGGCAGGGGGTCCGTGGTCAGGCAGGATCTGTCTCTGATGGGCCTCCGCCACCATGTCACAATGGTGTGTCTAGGTCTGGACACCAGGGGGCGCTCAGGGACTGTCCTAGAAGGTCCGGGCTAATCAGGGCTGGGACCTATTACTTGGCACTGCCTGTGTCCTCTGCTCAGAGCACAGCTGTCACCTTGCCACTCCCTGGGCTCCACACAGACCTACTGTCCCCATCCCCCCTGAAATCCTCAGACACAGGTACCTGACTCAGGGACCAGGGAGGGATCAAAAATTGAGGGACCTCATTTGCATGAGCGGACCCTCCCCTTCGCAGAGTATGAAGAGGGGAAGGGAGAGGCTTGGGGGAAGCTCTGCTTCAGCTGTGGGGCCACAGAAGGCAGGACTCAGCATGGCCTCCAGCATGGCCTGGTCCCTTCTCCTCCTCGCCCTCTTCGCTCACTGCACAGGTGACTGCATAAAGGGACCGGGGAGAGACTTTGGGGAGACACCTGGGGGTCTTCTTTCTGCTCTTCTCTCTAGACCCAGAATTAACCTCCCTGTGTGTCTTCCTCCTCCAGGATCCTGGGCCCAGTCGGTGCTGACTCAGCCGTCCTCAGCGTCTGGGAGCCCAGGACAGAGGGTCACCATCTCCTGCACTGGAAGCAGCTCCAACATCGGGGGTAACAATGTGGACTGGTTCCAACAGGTCCCAGGAAGAACCCCTAAAACCATCATCTCTGATAACAGCAAACGACCCTCCGGGGTCCCCGACCGATTCTCTGGCTCCAAGTCTGGCAGCTCAGCCACCCTGACCATCTCTGGGCTCCAGGCTGAGGACGAGGCCGATTATTACTGCTCAGCATGGGACGGCAGTCTGAAAGCTCCCACAGTGCTGCAGGCCTGTGGGGAAGTGAGACAAAAACCTGCTGTCCCTGCAGTGGGTTCCCCGGTGCAGTCCCCTCCCCTCTGCTAAGGCTGCTGCTTCCTTAGCTTGTTGGCCTGAAACTGAGGTCTGAGAAGCAGGTCAGGGAACTGTGAGTGGAACATCTGTCCACACCCTTTGGATTCTGCCCTTCAGGCCTGCGTGTGGCAGCAACGCGTTGTGTAATATTCTCCACCTGGGCAGACATTCCTGATGTGAGGGGAGGCTGTCCTGGGAACAGAGTCCGTGATGGCGCAGGAAGAACCAGGGACACAGACCCAGCAGGGTCCGAGTCAGTGCACAGCAGGGAGGCCCACTGTGTGTGCTGCCACCAGCAGGTGCCCACACAGCCGCCACTCTCCGCATCGCTTGTGGCAGCTGTCACCCTGCGTGGTCCGCGGCCCGTTCCCTGGAGCAGGTCTGGCAGCTCAGGCCCCTTGAGCCTCACTGGGCTGAGAGCCCAGGACAAGGCTGCTCCTCACAGCCACTCCTGTGACGGTGGCCTCCGCGCTCACTCAGAGCTGCAGGCCTGCGCGGCCTGGCCCAGGAGAGGCTGCTTCTCAGCTGTCGGGACGGGGACGTCCAGCCTCTGTGCTGAAGCTGGCCTGTGGCTGCTGCTTCTGCCGCCGCCATCGTGGGCCCGGTTGGCCCAGGGCGGCCCCCGGGGAATGCACGTGCCTCCTCTGCCTGCTGTCCTCCCAGCACCTCGCAGCAGCCCCCTCCTGCGCAGCAGGTCTCAGGCACAGCGTAGAGTCCTGCTCCCCATCACCTGGTGACACAGGGTGGCTTTGGGACACAGGATGGTCACATCAGATTTAACTCTCAGTGGGGAACCTTTGTCTGTTTCATTCATCACTGACGTCTTTCCGGGATGTTCCAGAGCAGGCACCCTCCCATTAGCCCTCACTGTGAGCACTGGTCCTGCAGCCCACGGGGACAGTTTTCTGTCCCTGCTGCACCAGCACCGCAGCGCCTTGGGTAGGCCTCCCTTGGGGCCTGGGATGACCACTTGTTTGTACCCGTTAATGCTGAGAACTAACCACTGATTTCTTCTTGTTTAACTGCATTGCCTAATACTGCCATATGAGGTTGGGTGACAATGGAGTTTAAGTCACTTTGGCCAGTTCCTGATCTTTGTGGGAATGTCCTCCCCCTGCCTCGGTAGCTGACGTGCTGACTGTAGGCCTATGTCGTATGTGTGAGCAGAGGGTCTGAATTACCATAGGGTAAGTGTGCTAGCTTCTTTATATTTGTATATGTTTTTTAGAGATTTATTTAAGCTTTGGTCAAAAGCTTTTTCTGAACTTATTGAGATTATAAGCGTTTATCCTTTCATCTATTAATATGATGTACTATATTAACGAGTTGATCAATATGGAACCCAAGCTGGATATCTAGGATAAGTAAAACGTGGTAATGTGTATCTCATTACTAGCCCGATATTGGAATCTGTTGATATTGTATTGAGAACATTTGGATTAATATTTTGTTATTTTTTGTAATTTTTCCTTTCCTGTACTTTATCTGTCAGATGTAGTTATCACCGTTACACCTGCTTTCTATAAGAATTAGGAAAGCTTTCATTTCTTCCATGTTTGCAAAAATATATACATTGCAAGCACATTTTCAATATCCAGTATCTGAAGGGTTTAGTGGTGGTTGCAAAACTAACTGTATCTATGTTATTTTGTGTGTGTATGGAATAGTCCTCTTATACTATGTTGTAGTTTTTTAAAGGAAATTATTCTTTTATCCAATTTCCTGAGACCATTTTTTACCTTCCTAGGAAAATATGCACCTAATCTATTTTTAATGGATTTGATTTTCATGCTTTCCTCATGTCATTTTTAATTTTCTATATTTCTGATGTGCCAGTTAGAGTTACTATGTTTGAATGTGTCCTTCATTTATTTTTGCACTTATGATGGGGAGATGTTGTTTCTTCCATGTCTGTGTCATTTTCCTGTGCACAGAAGAGAGAACTTCTGATTTCTCACTCTTGATTCTTTTTCTCCTTACATTTGGTAAATAGTCCACCAGCATTTTAACCAATAAGTATGAAGAGATTTTAAAAACCCACCAACTAACAGAATCTCTCTGTTGCCCATATCTGAGAGCACCTTCTTCACTCACCCACATGCCAACCTGAAGGACAATGGCACCCAGAAGGCGCATATAATGAAGTCTCGTGACTCAGAGGCTCCACCTGGGCCCCGAGGGAGACCCCGCCCACAGAGGGCCCGGGAGCGGCAGCCTGGGCAACGGCATTCTGGGACAGGGAATAAAATACCAACACTGGGCCCCAACGATGGAACACGAGAGGCCAAACATGAAGACACTACATCTGTGTGGGTAGAAATGGGAAGATTCTGTCTCCCTTTAGTCCCCAGAGTCCCATAGTCTCCGTACCTGCAGCAGTTCCATGAGGTGAAACCTCTGTCTGGTGCCCCCAGCACGAAGGGGCTGACTGACTTCTAAGAAACAGTGGGTCTGTGAGAGATGGGACTTGGGTGTCCAGGACCCCAGCAGAGTGATCTTGTCACCACCTCCCTGACCCTACTTGTCCTTTTCTGACTCTGGGACGCAGCTGTCACAGGCCCCGTCCTGCCGAGCGCTGCGGCACCGACCCTGAAGTCTGTGCCCTAGAAGCCAGTGGGTCCTCCCCATGAGCTCACCCTCGGTCCGAGGACACGCCACCTTGACGCCTGCCCGGGGTCTGTATGTTACCCACAAGATGCTCACGGATGCGGCCACTGTGCACTCACCAAAGCCGCAGAGCTACCCCGTCCAGAGCCAACAGTCCTCATGAACCCCGCACACGGTGACTGCGCAGGTGAAGGGCCCCAGAGTCCGCGGGCTCTGTCTACTCGCACACCCCCAACCTGGAATCGTCAGCGCGGGAGCATCAGGACCAAGCTGCATGGCATTCTCTCTCGGAGGTGTTTCCTAAATGATGACTTAGAGTGTGTGGTGGGGTGGTCGTTTATTTATTTGTTTTACTTGCCTGTGTTAGTTTGAAGGCAGCATTAGTCTAAACGACGTCTCAGTTATTGCAGTGGCTGTCTTTAGAGCTGCCAGTCTTGCTGAGCAGCTACTTCTCTAAAAAGAAAAACCTGCACGATCGGCTCTTTGAGTTTCGCATCTCAGAAGGACAGCGGGGACTCAGCGGAGTCATGGGTGAACTGGGGCCCTGCTGCCATCCAGCGTCGCGCCTGCGAGGTGTGTGCAGTAAAGAGTCGGTGGCACTTCCAAGCTGACCCTTCTAGTCTGGAAGCTGCTGCTCATCCTCTAGGGGCCTGTGAACCAGAAAGACCCACCACGCTGCTCCCAGCCCAGCCCCTCCTTGTCCTGGCCTGGCCTGTGTTTGTGACTCTGCTGGCACTTCTGACCCTAGTCCCCGAGTGGGGGGAGCCCTTTCTGGAATCTGAGGGTTCATCAGTCCTTGCGGGCTGAGGGCCGAGCAGCTCACATTCCACCGTCATTCCTGGGTCAGAGGGGACACAGGTTCCTGTTGTCTCACCTGGTTCCGGATCAGCACACGGAGGCCTCAGGAGGAGGGAAGGTCATCTGCCCTCACCCAAGGTCATGAGCACTCCTTACAGGTGGGGAGGGCATGGAGATGGGACGCCATGATGGATGCTGGCCTTGCTCTGATGAAGAAGGACATTTCTGGGACAAGAACAGAAAAGATCCTCAAGGGCTCCTCCGGATTTTGTTTGGAGGAGGGTACAGAGAGAGAAGATTAAATAGGAGGAGTCCAATTGTTTGTCATTGACATGAGATGATGCGAGCAGGCACTTCTTTGAAATAGTGCGTATAGTTTATATAATTTCAAAATTGCACACAATAAGTAATTTTTTAACTCACTCTTCCTATCTGGAATGATATTGTTTATTCTGATATTCAGAGCTGCTCGCATTTGCCAGGACATGTGGTATCGCTGTGATCTCAAGGTGAAGCCCACGTCTCCCGAACATCAGAGGAGGAGTTGGCTCAGGCGCCACGCACACACAGGTATCAGGGTGCAGAATAAGGACCTCTCCAAGGCGTTCCTGTGTCACTGCCCCTGGGAAGCTCTTCATTAGTCTTGGCCCTCGACCCCTTTTCCTGCACAGCAAACCTTGGTCCTCAGGGCTCCCAGGCAGGTCTCGGACCTTGTGACCCACGGGGGAGGTCACTGGCCCTCAGGGCTTCAGCCTCTCCTCTGGCTCCTTGTTAGTGCTCACCCCCTGCCTGGCCACCTCTGGCCTCCAACCCCATCGGGAGGCGCATTATCACTCTCACACATCTGAGGACAACCCGGTGCCGCTAAGGGCTCCCATGTCCCGGGCATTGGCGTCAACGTGGGCCAAGCTCTCCCCGGTGACCCATCACTGCCCTGTCCCTATTGTGAGCCACACCTGCTCAGGTTTAACTTCTAATTGTCACTTGTGCTGTGACACAGGGGGCCTTGGTCTCACCTGGGTCTCTCCACAAGGGGTCAACCTAAACAGGTTCTTTTGTTGCGGGTCTTCCTGATGCAAAGACAATCGCCATGTGATCTGTTTCAAAAATATCCTCAGAAATGATTGTTAGAATGACAGGAAAATAGAGTTCCAGGATCTGTGACCTGGTTTCTCAGGGTCTTTGGCTCCCAGGAAAGCCCCAAGAGACCACGGAGTGATGGAAAACACCGTATTCCCCGCCAGTGCCGCACAGGAGACCGTTTGCCCGATAACTGAGAGTGGATTAGGTCGGCTTCTGCTATTTTCCTCTCGAAATGCATTATCCTTACAAAAATCACTGAAGTCATTTTTTTCAAAGATAAAAATGCAGTTTATTTTCAACACACAATGATATTAATATTGAATGAAATTATAACCTACTGAAAACTGGGCTTTTTGGTACAGTGTAATTAGGTCCAGTGAAATAAGAAGTCAGTTTTCTTAATCTCATGTATGTAAATACATATTTTAATTACATATTTTAATTATCAGTGTCGTTTCCAACCTCCAGACTCAGGTGAGTAGTTTTTTTTGTTTTTGCTTACTTTTGTCAAACATTTAACTGAG